CCGATCCCAATCCTCCGTTCGTGCATGAACGCCGAGACAAGTGTGTAGCTGCTGGAACGAGCCGTCCATTTGCATTTCAATGCCCTCGTCGGTCCGAGCGATGCTCCGTTTCCCTTTCTCGGTGGTTGTAAGCGTCAGGTTTGAATCGCTCATTTAAGGCGGTCTCTGACTTTATCCGCGTAATATCTCCTTAAAACTTAGTATGCACATGCGGAAGGCGCCGAAGTTGGTCGCTGTTAATCCTTCGTGAACGTTGAGGCGATTACGAGGCGCGTTAGAAGACGTCAAGCGAGTTACGTGCCTCGAATGTCTGCGGGAGATAACTCGGCGCGGCGGAAAAAAAAATTCACGTGTACATTCGCGCAGTGCTAGCGGAAATCACGGAAATCACAGGAAAGAGCGCGTTTCTCCTCTCGCGGAGACTCCTTCGCGAGGAACGCGCTTCGCTTCTTCTTTCTTTCGATCGCGCCGCCCGCGTTCTCCGCGAAAATCGAATCTATCGATTCTCACCGGACGGACGAATCAACGGACGATGTTCCGATGTAATTCACACAGGGACGAAATACGCGAAATTACCGTCATAATCCCAAATGCTGACAGATGCTGACAGTGCAACACACACACACACACGTGCACGCGCGCGCGCGTGCGCGCACGGAAACTTCCAACGAGCTAATCGATTCCGCTCCGAACTACGATCCGCAAATTTCGACCATCTGTTTATGGGGGCGGTGATTACCGAATGAAATTACGTACACCTGTACGCTCGCGGTTCAAGTGCATAAATTAATGCATACCTACCTACCCATCTACCCACTTCCCGCAACCGTCCGAACTTCCTTTCCTCCGCGGACCTCGCGCGCTCGGCGCGCCGAGCCTGGCACCGAGAGGGACATCGATTTTCTGCCGAGCAATTCGCTGTTCATATACCCGACTCTTCGCATGGAGATCGTGTAAACACGAGACGACGGCCGCGCGCGCGCACACGTGTGTGTATGTGTGTGTGCGCGCACGCGACACCAACGGCGAGGCTTCAGGTAGACGAGGCGAGTGGAGAAGAGCGTCGTCGTCGTCGTCGTACACTCTCCCACACACAATCGCGCGGAGGCCCCTTTACACGACGGATGAGTTTAGATTGATATTGGCTGGCGAATGGATTTATCTAAAATTAGAGCCCCGTCCCGTCACACGGACTTATAGGACGTCGATTCTCCCGTACTCTGACGCACCCGCACAGCGATACAACGTCACGACGTTGCTTCTCTCTCGTTGCGGCTAAAGTTAGCAGCGGCTGCTTTTGTCGATACCGTCCAATTACGACCACGCAGACGACGACGACGACGACGACGACGACGACGACGACGACGACGACGACGACACCGATGCGTTAACCAACAGCTCTTCGGTACGTATTGACGAGCGATTTAAGCTCAAGTTGCTCGCTGCAAGCAAGCCGTCATCTTGTCCAACGAGACTCGAACAGAAACAATTTCCCGATCAGTCGTCTCGTGAACCCGACGAATGACTAACGTCGTCCACGACTAGCCTTATATCAGCTTCTCTGAGATCGTCTTCCGAGATTTTCGGAAACGCGCTCGCTCTCGGCCGCCCGTCGGAAACGCGTCGGATTTCCGCGCAAACAATAGACGGGAGTTTCACCTGTTCGGCCAATAATATGGAGCGCAGTGGCACGAGCAGAAGTTCTGCCGTCGAATCTTGTAGCTCCTCGGAGACATTTCTCACGTAACGGGCGGACGGACGATTAGATTTGGATCCGCAGTTTCCGAGATCTCTCGGCGATTTCGAGGGAGCATTACGCCCCTTAGGCAGATCACCTACAGCCTTCGACCTCTTCTGCCTACGAGCTTAGGCCAATTTCGACGTGTCGCGTCGAGAGAGGATGTTGGCCTGCGAGAGAAGGTTCCTCCCCTCTTTCCCTTTTCCTTTTCGCGATATTACACGAGGAACGTCGTGCAGGAAAAAAAAGGTGGATGATGGAGGGGAGGAGGAAGGAACGAAAGAGTCGGTGAGATATGCAGGATCATGTTGACAGTAGGAGGGGCGGATGCAAATGAGAGTCTTTCTCTATTTCTTCCTTGCTGGATGCTCGTACGGATTACAAAAGAAGAGTCGGAGGCGGATCAATAATGAGAGAACAAAATCTTGAGGAAAAAATTTGCTTATTTTTAATCAGATTTAGGTACGAGTTCAATTTAACCGGGATGAGCGAGAAAGGGTGGCGGAGAAAGAGTTCGGCGCATCAGGTTGGGCGAGAGAGAGAGAGAGAGAGAGAGAGAGAGAGAGAGGAGAGGAGAAAGGTCGGACGGCGCTATGCGCTGATTCTTGCTTAAATTACGGCGGACGTTTGCTTTTGCAGCAATTGCGAGTGGCAGTCTTATAAAGTTTAATAGCCAGCAGCGCGTCGTAGTTCGCGTTCGATTAACCGGGCATCGCATGAATTTCAAAAGAAAGCATCGCGCTCCGTTGCAGTTTCAGTGTACTCTCGGTGCAAATGAGAGTTGGATGGAGTTCGCGGAATTCTAAACTAAAGTCACGTTCGCGGGCCCGTCGTGCAAACGCATTTATAAAATACAGACGTGACATTTATGATGAACTATGCGAGCTATTTCAAACACTCGCAATCACATTAGCGCTTCGATGAAATAAATTATTTTTAACAACGCCGCGCGCGGGCGCGCGAGCGAATTCGCTCGCTCTTCGCGTGGAAAGTCCGCGCTTTAACGCTATTTCGCTCGATTTCGCGCCGTTCGTTGGCGCGCTGCAACATTTATTAATTCGTTGTTTATCGGCTGCAAATCGACAATTATTCGATATATGAACGCCAGGCATTTTTCTCCCTGTTCGCATTGTTCGCCCAAAGCTCTTCCGTTCCACCATCGTCGAATATCCCGGCCCGATTGAGCCAATCGAAGGGACTCAAATTTCATGAAACGCGCAAATAAATGCAGCCGTGTGATGTTTAAAGTAACCGCGGTGTATACGTGTCGCGTCGTTATTCGGCGTGCAGTTTGCACGTGACACTCAAGAACAAATAATAGAGCGCATAAGGTGTTAAAATACTTTCGGTATAGTGAATCGCGGGCAGCTTCAAATGCTCCGCGTACGCGAGAACGTCGGCACGTACGACGGATTTCACGTGCAGGCAGTTCAACATCAACAAACTCACACACACACACACACACTCTCTCTCTCACTCTCTCTCTCTCTCTCTCTCTCTCTCTCTCTCTCTCTGGCGCACAAGCGCGAATTTTACAGACCCGTAAAATATATTGGTTTTCTTTATGTCCGCCTGGCAGGTTCGTTAAGTGTGGCTATTTAACAATTTACGGTTAGCATTTCCCTGCCGGAAACGCTTCCCGCACGACGGAACCGCCGTCGTCCGGGCTACCGATGTGTTGTGCCCCCGAACGCGGCATTTATTTCCAGCGAGCGAATATTCCGCGAAATTCAGCGAACGATTCCGAGCGAATAATCTACGACGGTGCGATTTACGGAGCTTCGTGACCGAGTTCTCCTCCCTAAACAGATCGATACTCGCGAGTGGCGACGACGTGAATTATTTTATTATCGGATGGGTTCTCTCTCTCTCTCTCTCTCTCTCTTTCTCTCTCCCTCTCTCTGTGACTATTTTTCTATCGGAAAAATATACATTAATGCGCAGGAGAATAACGGCTCGACATCTCGGATGCACGACAGCGCAAAAATTCTCGATAATTATTCGTCGACGCAGATTAGATTCGTTTTCGTGCGTGTGTACATGTATGGGATTAGATGAGAATCGCGTTAGACCACAATGGGCGCGAGGGAGACAAGAAAGGAGGAAGTAGTAGAGTGAACGAAAGGAGCAAAAATTCCACCTTTCAAGTCCTCCATTTTCCATCTTCACTAGCGTTCAGAGTCCATCCCTTCTCGACACGCTTTCCGTCTGAATATCTCGAGCTTTGCTCCCGCGGTCTCGTTCGTTTCTCGCTTCTTCGTTTTTTCCTTCTAACGACCGAACATAGCTTGGCCGTGACAAGTGTATCGATCGCCTGCGCCATCCTTCTCTCTCTCTCTCTCTCTCCTTCTTGCCTCTCACGCACTCCACTCCGCCGAAAGAAATGCCGCTTAAATGCGCGCGGTAACCCTCCGGAATGCCGTCGAAAATTCTGCACCAATTTATTCGTAGCGGCCACCCCGCAATCCGATGGCGATTGAACGGGACACGCGTGTGCCGCTTCCCTCGGTGTGGAACTCGTCAATCTGTAAGAATAACGAGTTCTTCTTTTACTTCCTAACGAATCCTCCAGCGAAATCTCATACGTGCAAATCGTCAGACAAGGGCGACGAGGACTCCAGAGCCGGAAATTGAATCGAAACTATCGACTCGTGTGCATTTTGCACAGTCCCGAAAGTCCCCCGTAGATATACACTCTGCAGCGTTTATTTTCAATGAGATTACTCGCTTCATAAATCAGGGTAACGTAGCCGATCGACTAAGGTCGATTACACCGTCGAGCGCCGATTATCCATTCGCAATTCTATTCGCAATCCACACTCGATTGCACGAGACGGGGGAAATCCGCGATCTTTTTTTCGATTAAGTCCCCGTATAACCAGATTGCGAAATCGACGGGGGGGGGGGCGGATGGGGAGAGGGGAGTCCAAGGATTTTCGCGCCGAAGACTTTCTGTTTTTTTCCTCTTTCTGTTCCCCCCCCCTCTCTCTCTCTCTCTCTCTCTCTCTCTTCTCTGTCGTCCTGCAGCGTTTCCATCCCTTCTTTCCACTGACCCGAAACCTATCCCGACATCGTGGAACGCCGTCGTGTACCCTTGCCTTTGTGCTCGGCTACTTCCGCCAGCCTCGTAGCTACCCTTCCCTTTCCTCCGGTCACGCGATCGCTCTTACGGGGATTTTCCAGACTGTAAATTGCAAAAGTTCTAATGCGACTCTCACGATATCACGTCCCTAAGCCCGGCCGTTGTTTCTTCTTGTTTCAGATCCTGAAGCGGCTTTCAGGATCCGACCCGGCGCGCTCAGAGGGTAAGTTTCAGTTAATAATACAGGAGTAATCAAGATTGACCTGTAAAGGTGATAATCGCTTTAACGCAGATTGAATTTGGGAATTGTTCGCGGCCCTTAACGGGCAAACGTAGTTAGCTTGTATGCGCGCGCGCACGTTTCGCTCAGGCACGCGACGCGACTGTGAGATTGCGCGCATTCGTGACACATTCTCTCGATAGAGATTAATCTCACGCGTAATATACACACACACTGCCCATCGGCAAATCCTCCGTCGAGACGCTCACTCGAATCGATCAGTCTGTGGCCCAAAAACGTGCCACTTCCGACTCTCAGGGCGCTACATAAGTTCCAAGACCTCCAGGAATGCCGAGAACTCACGAAACTTCGGTTCGATTTAGGGATCGCTTCGGATCGCCGGACAATCGGAACAATGTTGGGTGCGGTCTGGTTAATTTGTGGTTCAAAATATTCGCCGAGGACTCGGAGAAAACCGCGACTGCCAGCCCCCTCCATTCCCCTCGCGCCGTGGGTGGCCCTGTTTGGTGAACGCGCCCCTCTCGCCCCGTGCGTTCCGCGAGCACTCGGGCGTATTTGAAATTTATCGAGGTAACAAGAGGCAGCGTGATGGTACGGAGGGATATCCCCCTCCTCCCCCCCTCTCTCTCTCTCTCTCTCTCTCTCTCTCACTCTCAGGGCTCTCGAAAAGTTCGCCGTTCTTGTAAAGTGCTCGAAACAATTCCGACGCGAGCCGACGTCGACGGCATCGCTTTTGTATCGAGAGCACCGGGACAGCGAAAGTTTTTGCATTCTCTTGTCACGCGGCGCGATTTATCCCGCGCTCGGAATATGCAACAACATTTATGCGCGACGTAAAAATTCTCGCCGTCGCTGTATGTGCATGTGTGTGTGTGTGTGTGTAACGTGCGCGCGCGCGCGCGCGCGCACGAAACGCGGAACGAAATTCGGTCGAAAATATTCCGCGGCGATCCGAGGAACTCTCGACGTGTCACGACAAAAATAACCGGATTCATTCTCGTCATCTCGCGGCGTTAATTCCCTCCGTTTTATCAGCGACGATCGGACCCCAGACGGGCAACAGAGGGAAAAAAAGCAAATCTGTCCGCGTCACAGGTATAACTATATTCATCTTAGTCGAAATTAACGAAGATGCGGCTGTCAATAAGGCGGTCTCGACGAGACTTATATTTTCATGTAAATCAACTTCGACCGGTGAGCTGATGACCGTGCGGTGCGGAGCTGTTACTCCGGACTAGAGCCGGACGCGTCCGAGGTTCCCCTTGCGTCGCGATGACCGCGTCTATTAATATTTTTGCGAGGGCATAGCGTGAAATTTTGTCTAATAGTTGCTTTGATCGCGCGACGAGTCACGTAGCCGTGTTATTAATGCCCGCTCGCGGCGCGACGCGTATGCATATGCATACTAATCTTAACACCCCGAGTACACCCCGCTGTACTGTCGGAGAATCGAGCCTGCGACGTTCCTCGCGCTGCGCGGATACGCGTATGTGTAATTAAATCTGCTATTAAACGTACGTGCAATTAAGAGCCGGGGTATCGTTTGACTTGAAATCCCCGACACGGCGCGTCTGGTATAAACGAAGCGTAAACACGAAATTACGACGCTCGCGGGCGTGTAAAAATTTTAGAGCGTTCTATTTGCCGACTACGGGCGCGACGTCGACGACGACGACGACGACGACGACGACGACGACGACGACGGGGATGACGACGATGACGGTGCACCGACGGGCAGCGGCGACGACGTTATCGCGCCCAGCTGCCTGAATGAGGCAGCCTTCCTGAAAGATTCGCAAAATTACGTCCGTCCGACGCCGACGTTCGCCCCCGCTGAGGATGAATAAATTAAGAAAGGAGCCATAGTCGGCTTTTGGCGGGCAAAGTCTGCGTGCGTGCTTAATTAAATTTAGCGCCGCGCTCTTGGCGCGGACTCTCTTCTCTCCTTCGGCCGGCGTTGCTCCTCCTCCTCCTCCTCCTCCTCCTCCTCCTCGACGTTCCTCGACACGCTCCGCCGGAGCCGTAGAAAATAATATACACTCGGCGAGCGAATTATGCAAATGTTTGTTTACTTCCCGTAGCGTACGTGGCAGCCGCGAGCGGCAGATGCCAAAGTTATGAAAACTTAAAAATCATATCTCGCCGCATTCGCCAGTGCGATTCGCCCGGAATCGCGGATGAATCCTAAAGCAGCACTGCCGGATTTTGCGCCTGCGACTTTGACGCTGGACATTAGGGGATGTCTCGTTTTCCGTGCGATCGACATCGACGGCGGGACGACGCTCGGGATCCGCGGCGACCGTTGTACTCTTGCTGCCTCGACCAAGTTCCACCGTTCGACGAAGATAACAACAAGCACTCGCTCTCTCGCTCTCTCTCTCTCTCTCTCTCTCTCTCTCTCTCTCTCTCTCTCTCTCTCTCTCTGTCTTTCTCTTTCTTTCACACGCGCGCGCGAGTGCTTCCGATCATTCTTATCGCCGTCGCTGCAAAAGCGGGAGATTAATATGTTTTCATGCTCCGCGAATTTACTCAAAGTCGCTGAAATGGTGATTTAAGTTTGCCCTTTAATCACAGTCGATGGCGGCGACAGCGGTCGTGGGCTTCTCCCATAAAACCGCGAGCGTCATCCCGAGACAAAACATAGTTTCCTCCCGCCGAGCACCGCGTTGGTTTTAAAAGACAAACCTCAAGTCTCTTATTCGGCAGCGGCAGCGTGGCGGAGGCAAACTCAACTCTGTAATGAATTTTCTTTGCGTCCAAATTGGTGCAAATCGAAATAAAGTTATCAACGCGATGTCGAAGTCATTTGAAGCCGGTCATGACTCTGATGAAGCGGTCTCGTAGTAATTGGAATTTAAAGTAATTAATTACGGGCGTGCGTATTCCGCGAATTATTGCGCGCGCGCGCGCGCGCGATCGCAAAGATGGAAGTTTATTAAAAACTATTTGAAAACGCATGCACACACACACACACACACACACACACAATCGCAGCCGGCTTCTCGCGCGCGAAAGGAAATTAATATCTTCCGCGGAGAATTTCTATTTCAGACGCGTCGCTCGTGTGACGTTTACGTCAAGGATCGATAAAATTATCGGCCAAATTTTGCCTCGCGGATACGTCCAGCCAAACGCAATTAGCGCGACACTCGGCGAGGATGTACATTTTCATCCGCCGGCGAAAGCTCCGTATACACATTTCCGTTTCATAAATCCGTAACTACAAAATTTCGGGTTTCATCCGCACGCGGCGCTCCACGTGCGGCTTCCGAGATATCGCTCCCTGCCCCTCCGCCCCTCGCCCCTCCTCCTTGTCCTCCTTCACCTCCCCGTCACGTCTTTGCACGGCTCCCATTACCTTATCTCCGGAGAGAATGAGCGGCCCTCGAGGATAGGAAAATATTAACCGAAGAACGTCCCCCGGGAAAAAACATTTCGCAAAATGATCCGTACGTAGGACGAGCTAAAAAAGCCGTAAAAGAAAGCCGAGAAAACAGAAGAGGGTGGCCGGAAGGTCGGGGGGAGGGCGAGAGGTGGAATCGCCCCGGGGCGCTCTCGGTGAGTCGTCACGCTCCTGGATGCCGCCCTTCCGCCCGATCAATATTGCGTTGGTGGGGCCGAGGCAGGGTGGTTCGCCGAGAGGGACGATAGGGGTTCGGGGTGGCTAAACGAGGCGAGGGGTAGCGTGAAGAGCGTCGTCGCGGTGGAAGCGGCGGGCGCGGGCGCGGAGCAGATAGCAGGGGGTAGCGAGGGGTTGCTGACGGCACACGGCCGGTAGAGGAGGGTGCGGCGGCAGTGGGGGTTGTTTAGGTGGGGACGGTGGTGGAGAAGGCAACACTGTCATGGCGCCGCGCAGCATCGCCAGGCAAGCGGCACCTCGGTGTACTCCCTCGCGGCGCGCTACGCGTTCTTCAGGGTTCCGTGATCGGCAGCGACGAGCGACCTGGTGAAATCGTCGTGTCGTGTCGCGTCCAGAGTCTGACCGAGAGTCGTGTGAACGCGGTGCTTCACACACAATCACGTATACACACATATACACACACATACATCTCGCACGTACACACACACACACACGCGCGCGCGCGCGCGCGCACACATACGTACGCACACGCACACATATATACATCGCCCTCTCGCCCGCCCGCCGCATTCTCCGACACGGGCGAGCGTCGACGAGCGACGTCGCCAAGAAGACACACGGCTGGGGAACTCAGGCCAAGTCGTGCGCGTGCTTCGGCAGTTTGGGGACACGCCGCGGTGAGTGGAGCCGCGTCGCGGACCGGAGGAGTGACGTTTCTCCACCGGCGCTCGCGTTCGACACGCGCCGGGTTATATCGACGCGAGCGCACGCGAACGCGCTCGCGGTGTCGTGTGTGTGTGTGTGTCTACGCGATCCGGACAGTAGTGTGACGCGAGTGACAGCAGCGGTCCACGGCGATCGCCAGCACGTCGGTGCTGCTGGAGGAGAGCGCGACACACGCTCTCGGCCGACTCGCCCGCGCCGCCATCGATCGCGAAGGTCGAGGACTGAAGGTCGCGAGTTTCGGAGAGATTCGTCATCCCCGGGATTACGTGTGCACCGGGGGTCTTCGGCTGCGAGAGAGAACAGCCGCGCGCGCGACTTGCCGTCTCGACGCCACCCGAGTCTCGTCGGCCTCGCGACGCAACCGGACAGCCGCCGTTCTGTGAGAGCCGCGATACGAAGGGTGTACAAAGCAGAAGGCTCGTCGTCGAATCGGCCGCTGGTGCACGCACCAACTTGAATCGATGCCGCACGAGGGGTGGCGGAGGAGGAGGTGGTGATAATCGCCAAGGGCGCTCGTGCACGATGTCGCGGCGCGGCCAGACACGTGACTGAGAGGCAGCTGCGGCGAGGGATCCTTCTGGTGAGGACCTTCGCGGGTCCTCCACCGGGGAACCGACATCGGCGAAGATAGGCGGGGGTTACCTCCGCGGGTGGATCGAGCTGGAAGCGGCTGGGT